GGGTCAAAATTTACAAAAACACAAAAATGTGCCAATCGTGCATGAGGTGCAATAAATAAAGGAATAGTGCCAGTGCACCACGCTGACAGGCCCTAGGGGCCGGGTGCTAAAAAATTGCCCCGGACTAGCCATAAGGCCTGTCCAAGAGGCGTTGTGCAGAAATTGCAAGGTGGTGTGTGACCAAGTGCACAGTGAGTCAAAGTGGGTCTCCCACACCCAAGTGACTTTCTGAGCACCCCTGGGACGCCACCCCCAGGGGGCACAACACCACGGGCTCTGCCGCCTCCCAACCCTCCAGCCTCGACCAAGCTTCGTATCCATTCCCATCAGAAGGTAGTGCCGTCAGGGGTCCATCCCTACCACCGGTGACAAGCCCAGCATCACTGGGCCAGAATCTAGCAAGGAGGGACTGTACCCCATCTGACACCCACCAATTACGCCAGGAATCTACTGGTCTGCCGTACACCCCGCTCAAAGTGACAGCAGACTTTCAACTCCCGACAACTGATAAGAACAGATACTACACTTGATCTTAGCCAAAAGGCAGAGAAGCCACACAGATGCAGCAGGTGCAGGTTCCTTCTGGGCCTTTTCCCGATGTGGGGAGGAGATTCTGTGCCCTTATATAGGGTTCTCTGTCTCCTCCCACCCAGGGGATTTCTCTTCGGGAGATCCCCCTACCTAGTACTGGGAGGGACCTGTTCCGGCAGGTGCCCGAAGGATCGGGGTCCGCCAGCCTTCGGGTTGGTGGACCAACAGTCTCAGCCCCTGTCAGGAGCCTTGCATTTCGGGGGGTCGGGAAAGTAGGTCCCTTCTTTATGAAGGACCAAGCACCCTTGTGCACGTTTTTGTGTGCTGTGATTTCACGGTTCCCTTTTTTAGTTCACAGGGGGAAGTTGTTTTTCGATGCACGTCCACGGGCTCTTAAAAAAAATAAAAATAAATCACTTAGAAGAAAGTCACTCACACTCCAATAAGAATGTTCAATGTTCTTTATTCGCAAAATAATTGTCACATTGTATAGCAACGTCTCTGAACCATATAGGTCCCTTCTTCAGGCATGCAAAGTGTAACAATCAAACAATATTGGAGTGCGAGTGACTTTCTACTCCGTGATACTGATTAGCATTTTTAACCTATCTATTAATGATATAGGGGAGGGAGTAAGTTTTTGCTGATGATACGAAAATTGGGAGGGTAATAGACACGGATTTAGATGTTATAACATTACAGGAGGACCTGGATAAACTCAGGGAGTGAGCAACTGTATGGCAGATGAAGTTCAATGTAGATAAATGTACGGTAATGCACTTTGGAGTTAAAAATAGGCAAATGGACTATACACTTATGGGTGCGCCACTATGGAAGTCGGAAATGGAGAAGGATTTGGGGGTGATCATAGACCACAGATTGAAGAATAGCTCACAGTGCCAGGCTGCTGTAAACAAAGCAAGTCAAGTCCTGTCTTGCATTAAGAAGGGGATGTATTGCAGGGACAAATCTATAATTTTGCCACTTTACAGATCACTGGTTCGGCCACATCTGGAGTATGCGGTCCAGTTTTGGTCACCAATACTCAGAAAAGATGTCCTTGAGCTGGAAAAAGTCCAGAGGAGGGCAACAAAACTCATTAAGGGGTTCGAGGACCTAAACTATGAAACAAGGCTGTTAAAATTAAATATGCCGTGATCCGTCTAGGTGGGAACACCTCTGCCTGCTTGCTGCAAAAAAAGCAATCCTCACAAACTGGTTGATACCAGCTCCCCCATCATTGAAATTGCTGAAGGACCTCCTACAGAAATTGCTCTCGATAGACCAATTAGACGCCCAGCTAAACCAACCCCTTACGGCCAAGTTCTTTGCCACCTGGCCCTCTTTCTTATTGTCTGAATACACACCAGAAAGACTAAAAGAAATAATGACAGGGTTCCAATATACTACATGGTATCTCACATCGAAAATAGCTGGATCTTTGGGTGCGTTAGATGTCCTTTAGCGTTCCAACAGACGACTCCTTCTACTTATCCTGGTCCTACACATTTTAATAATTTTAAGGATTTCACTATTTGAACTCCCGTAATGCCGTGTCTGCTTGCACATGTGGTCAATGATTCAATGGTTCCAGGGATTGATTGACATGTTGAAATGTTACTAAGTACTTCACTGTTTCATTCTGTAAACTATTACTTTGATACAACTGCATTTACCTGTGTTTTGATGAGTATGTCTTGAAAAAATGCTCAATAAAAGATTACTTGTTAAAAAAAAAAAAATTAAATATGTTCTCGTTGGAGGTTAGGAGATTAAGGGGGGACATGATGTTCTTGTATAAACTGTGCAATGGTGACAGCAACTTTGTTAACAAACTGTTTACGGTTAGCTCCGTAACAAGACCAGAAGGCACCAACAAAAATTGTTGGAAAAAAGATTTCAACACACAGGGCGCAAGGGGTTCTTCACAGTTAGAGCGGTTAAGGTCTGGAACTCGCTGCCGCAGGAAGTGATTTCAGCTAAGAGTGTGGAAGCATTCAAAAACTCTTGGACGAGTTCCTCGGAGACCATAATATACAGGGGTACAGGTACGCCTAAGAACAAGATCACACATGGACTCATACACACGCACACACCTGCTCAGTGGCGTAACAATAGCCATAGCGACCCAGGCGGCCGCTATGGGGCCCGGGCACAGGGGGGCCAGCCAGGACACCCCCCTGATGCCGTGCGGGCCGCCTGGGTCGCTATGGGTTCGAACGCGCCGCTGTTCAGATCACCGTGATCTGTGCAGCGCTGCGTTCTACTCCATAGCCGCTGCTGAGTCAATTAGAGTCAGCAGCGGTGGTGGAGGAGGCTGGACTTGGCGGGGAGGAGGAAGCGGGGCCTGGGGGTCAGCATCAGAGAAGGAGGCGTGGCCGGTGACGGAGGAGGAGGCGGGCCCAGCGACGGAGGACAGAGCGGGCCCGGCGACGGAGAAGGGAAGATGGAGGAAGAAGAGGCGGACAGGTAAGGAGTGTGACCAGCCCACCTGAGAGTGACCCTGCAGAGCCCACCATAGAGAGTCTATGGTGGGCTCTGCAGGGTCACCCTCAGGTGAGCTATGTGGGCTTGTGAAGGAATATGGATCATATCAAGAAAATGTCCTTTTCTATGTTTTGAATTTGTTTCATTTGCTTCCTAGCTTTGTGACTTTCCTTACTCAGCTTCTAGCGTTGCTATGCGTAACCAAGATATATAACCTGTATTCGGGAGCGCACCGAGGATACATGAAAGGAATGCCGAGGGAGGATGCTACAGGCAGAAGATATCTTTGACTAACCAATTAGCGAGAGACACAAGACTTTAACTAACAGCTCCTCTAGTTTGCCCAATAGTACAAGACATTTAGAGATAACAGATGTGGGCATATGTGTGACGAACACTCTCCTGTTATCTGTGTATAAAGGAGAGAGACCGCCATGAATAAATTAGAGCTTTCATAGACCGTTAACTCTGAGTTTGTGATTTCTCCGGTGCACCGTACACAACATAATTAGAAACAGCAGCAGACATCTTGTGTGAACCCAGTTGTGGTTCAGATCCATTTCAGGCTCTTCAAGGGCCCCATACTAAATTTTGCTATGGGGCCCCGTGATTTCTAGTTACGCCCCTGCACCTGCTCAAACATAAATGCACACACGCAATAGGTTGGACTTGAAGGACTTACGTCTTTATTCAACCTCAAATACTATGTAACTATGTAACTATGAATAACCAGCATTCAGAGGTCCTCACGCAGATACCATTTAGTAGTAAAACAATCTGTCCTGGATGGCCTGCACCCCGATGGATGTTGCTGACCTGGTGCAGACACCCGTGGCTAGCAACATCCCTGTTTGACCTTGCAACCTTATGTCTTTTACCTTCATTTGTCTCTATTTCTCTATGTTCTTCAACTACATTTCACTCACCCTCTTTTCTCTTTCTTTCATTCTTTCTCAAACTCATCTCTATCGTCTTTTCCTCCTTTTTATTTAAGAAGATGTACGCAAAGTTCCGTTACCCAGACTAGCCAATCACATTTCTCCTTACAGTAGCTTAGGGCAGTCAGAACAATAAGATTATTACGTCAAGGACAAGAGAGCGGCATTTATAAAATATAAGACGGAGGGGACGGCATTGGCGTTCCTTAACTACAAAGAATGTAACAAATGCTAATGTTGCCCCACACATAATGCTCTTTACCTTTTTAACATTCTCATTGAGGAAATGTAGACAAAAACTGAATTCAGTCTATTATTTGTTTATTCAATTACAATTAAGTGATGTGCAAATGTTAAATCAGCTGTGATTTGTATCTTGTATTACATCCCCAGCAGACCAGCTAAACCCTCATTGCTTCCTGGAGCGTGGCTATTGGGGTTGAGAGCATGAATGATCAGCACAGCATCCTAACTTTTGCTCACACAGGGCTTGGCGAACAAATTGCCTGGGAGCTAAGTGGCGTAAAAAAAGAACCAGTCATGACTGGGCTTATGCAATAATCTGATTATCCCATCCTTAGTGGAGCACACCTGTGGTCACCTGAAGTTTGGCTGTTGTTGCCCTGTCAACCGCTTGACCTCACCCACTGTCCTCCAACTCCTGAGTGTGCATAACAATGTCAAAATACCAAGCTCTATAGTTCTGTACATAATTCTTAAAGCAACTCTGCTGAAAAAAATGAATCAGGCATCTCTACAAAGAAAACATTGACCACTTTCCTGTCCCACTAGCTGCACCACTGAACTTTTTTGCATTGTGAGATCTTCAGCATCTGGTACACTTCTAGACACATCAGATACCTGGTTTCCCACCCTGCTCCCTGGTTAATTCCACCTCCCCCTGCCATGACATGGCAGCAACATCAAGACTTCAGGTGAACTCTAACCACTGACATTCAATCTAAAGAGTTTGAGTATGACTCTATGAGACCTCAAACTGCTTACACTCAAGCTGTAGTGCCAGGCTTAGACAAAGTGAAGCAAGAAAAGTATGTGAGATGTCTACAGAATAGAATGACCATTATAGGTTCTGGAAAAGAGAATGTTCCTTTTTCACTAGTGTGTGTCCTCCAGTCTTTATCTTGTGTGTCCATGCATTTTTTTCATTCTGGGATTGGCTCTTAAATTGAAGGAAAGCCCTTCTTTTCGGATGGCCCGTCGGAGCACATCTAGGTTGAACGTGTCGGTGGTGTTTGCAGGGTGGAAAGAGAATTTCTGGAGCAGAGCAGTAAGAAAGAGGAAGATCTCCATCCGAGCCAAACCTTCCCCTGGGCAGATCCTCTTTCTTGGAACAAACAGAGAGCAGCAGGTAGAGAAAGTCACGTGACCACAAAACAAGGCAGAAGAAGCCACTATTAGTGATTCTCTCTCTCTGTTTCTTACCTGCGGAGAAAGGAATCAGAGCTTCCTGTGAACAGAACTTCCCATTCTCATCCAGGAAATTTTGCGGATTAAACTCATAAGGCCACTTCAAGTACTGCGGGTCTGATAGGGCAGAAGCAAGGAGAGGAAATACGGTCGTCCCCTGCAACACAACAAGGAAAGCATTTTGTGACGCAAGCACAATTTACTTACATAATGTTTAAAGCACTATTTCCACCCAATAGGTCCACATAAATATCCAGGTCCTGGGAATAAACTCAACACCTCTTATAGTGCCCTTTACAAATGTGAAAATATAATTGTTTTTGTATTTATATTTTGCTTTGGTGAGGAATATAAGAAGGTAGTTTTGGCATCCCTCAAGGGAGGGACTTTTCTAATATGTGAGAAACCCTGACACATGCAGCAGGGGTGGTGCAAGGCTGGCCCTAAGGATAGGGGGTCCATCTGGTTTTGACCCAGGTGGACCAGGGTACCTTGCCCCTATCAGGGGCCTTGGGCATGGGAGAAGGTGGGAGTGTTGGGTTCAGGAGATCAAGGCCCTTCCTCTATGGAGGAGGACCACAAACTGCAGCTATGATAATGCTGTGTATTACCAGCTACATCTTTGTTTTTGTTGGAAGCATCAGTGGTGAGATTCACTGCAGTATACCAGGGGGAGGTTGGGGCTTTCTCAGCATGGAGTGCATGGTTCCAAGGGGAAACCCAAATTAATCCTGACCCTGTCGAAGACACCAGTGCTTAGACTTCACTGCAGTCATTGTTTCATCCAGTTTGTTTGTAGCTATATAATGTTGAAATATCAGTTTTTGGCTGATATTATATATACGTATATATGATTTCAGTGCTGTGCATTTGTTTCTAACTAGCAATTATATAGCACCGAAAATTTACACAGCACTTTATTTCATAATGTACATTAACATGCAAACGTACACACACTATGGCCAATTTAGACAGGAACCCATTAACCTACCAGTATCTTTTGGAGTGCACCAAGCACAAGGAGATCATGCAAGCTCCATGCATCTAGTGTCCTGCGCATGATTCAAACCCCAGTGCTACAAAGCAGTGTAACGTATACCACAGCTATAGACTGGGTTGGCTAGGAGTATGTTACCCAACCACTAACCACTGTGCCTCACCCCTCTGTATGATGTACTGTAGGTTACATACACCCAGGGCCACCATTAGGTATCATAGTGCCCTGTACAGCCTACTGGAAGTGCCTCCCTCATCATTTCCATACATGTGCAAGCTCTATGCACATATGTTCATTCGAATCAGATAGCTGGGATGGCAGGGTTGGTTTTACATTTTTCTTTATTTTATTTTACCTTTTTATCACCTTTTTAATTTTTTTCACTTAACTTTTGCTATCGCAAAGGGGCCAACAAGCCCCTATGTGAGAGCATTTTACAGTAGGTTTTCTTTATGTAGACATTAGAGGTCTATTAGACATTTGATGTCTCCCCTGCCCTCCAATACAGACAATCAAGCACAGGATTGTGCTTGATCGTCTGTTTACCTGTTTCAGGCGGGTTTATGACAGCTCTGAAGCAGTAAGCACTGAGATCACAGCACTTCCAGCTTCATTGATCACAGAGCAAATCAGGGAATGGACGTTCCTCGGTCTGCTCCGCTCTCCATCCTGACACCATTTGCCCTGGTACCAGGCCACCCAGAGGAGCCCGTAAACCACAGTGGGGGCTGCAGGAAAGGTGAAGGCATGATGTCAGGCTAGTACAATTGATCTGGGTGGTTGTACAGATGCCCAGATCACTTGCATTTGACAAGCTTTGCAGGCATTTCAGGCAGTTGTCATTGGGGGAAGGTGTGTAGGCAGCCAATGCTGGGCCCCCCTGCTGTCTTTAGAGGGACCCAGGCCCTGTAATGGGGGGACTGACTATATGCCCCTATCAGGGGCCCTGCATACACCAAACCAGCCCAGTCTACAGTCATTCACATGCCACAGTCATTGGAGTGCCTCACTTTGTACTCTGAGCTGACTGTTACATTGGAGAAACATTTACGAAAATATCATGCAAAATCCAATGAACATCAATTCCTCCTATAGGTCCTCTGCTTTTGGAAAATATGATTTGTGGGGTGTCTTTATTCTACCAGAAATACTATGTAACTAAGTAATTGGCAGGCCAAAATGCAAAAAGTGTGCGAAAAATACAAAAAAATTCTCTATGCCTAGGAGAGATTCCTACCCCTCATGTATACAGAAAGAGCATTTGCAACTTTTTTTTCCCGATAAAATATAACATGAAAATATGGAGCAGCAAGCACAGAACGGCGTTAAAGCAGAATCAGAGAGTACATTGTATTAAATGTTACAGAAATATCCATCTTCTCACTGAAAAAGCACTACAGCTTCCCTCTCTGTCGGTCACAAGGGGTGATAAAATAAGGTCAAATTGCTTCAAAGTTAATTGTTTACTAGAACATTCTGTACCTATATCTAGCGCCGGGGTAAAAACAATCGGCAGAAATGCTGACCAAGCAATTTAACGTTCCTCCAATCCTATTCTATTCATATAAAGTCACCTAAAATCTGTGTGCTTGCAGTAGATGATTCTCTTTTGGTATGCTTAGTATATCATTGATAGCATTTTGTTATATCTGTTCAATAAGTCTAAATAAAGTTTATCTTTTTTTTGAAGCCGCGATGCGTGTGCAAAAATTAAACATCATAGTGAACAAAAAAAGTGCATGTGAAACACACACAAAAAAGTGCACAAAGGGTGTGTCTAATGGTCCATCTCCCGGGAGAGACAGGGCCCTTCCCTGACACTTCCAGGTGCGCAAGGTTCCTGACAGGGGCAAGGCACCCATGTACACCTGGATTAAACCAGGCGGACCCATTCCTCATGGTCATGAGTACAAGGTTGGGGGCTCTCCCGAAGAGAGACCCTGAATTTAGGAAAGGAAGGAAACTGAGGGCCATACATCCTCCCCCTAGATTTAGATAAGGTCTGAAGACCCTTCATCCTGTGGAGTAAAAAAAAAAAGCACACATAAAAAGTGAAACATGTTTGATAGTGATATATATACTAAAACGCATTCTTCACTCCCTACTTTAAAATTAATGGGACAGCTCTGGGATGCGGCTAAACACACATTGGACGTAACAAATCTTACTCAATACAGTATACACCATTATGGAAAAATGGTTGCTTACCAGAACTTCTTCCACTTCAAGATACAGTTGATTGGTCAGGTGAAGGAAAAGTTGCGGTTTCTCAATTATATCACAATGGCAAGTTATGTATCTTTGAGTACTTGTCCTCCACATTTGGCCTTTCTCATAGGTGTTATTTCCAGTTCCTCCAGATCAGACATGCTTTACATTCCCAATTTCGGCTATGTCCTCCTAAATTTTCTCCCGCTCCGGTATTTGATGCTTTGTTTTATGCCACAAATACAAATGCACATCTACTACCTAAATCGAATGTTTTACTCCCCTTACAGTGCAGGGATGGATGGGAGGGTGATTTAGGTCCCATCTCAGATGACATTTGGGAAGACATCTTTCAGGGGGTTACTCAAGTCTCATTATCTCCTACCCACAGATTGACACAACTGTTTATAATCCATAGGATATATCGTACTCCATGAATTTCTTTCTCGTATTGGAATCAGGGCTGACTCTAGTTGTCTTCTTGTAGTTTTCTTTCTTTTTTAAAGAATGCCGTTGTCACCTATCATATGTCATTTTGGTAGTACTGAGAGGTGTTGGTAGTGCATACTATGCTTGTGATATTTTTGTGCTGATTTCATAGTGGATATTATCCACTTTGTTGTGCCTATTGTTAGCGGCTTGTTTTATGTTGAAATTTAATATTTTATTTCTACTCTTCTGTTACTTGAAACAAAGTAAAATCAATAAAAACTGATTTAAAAACAAAGTGAAACGTGCACGGACAAGTGAAGAAAAAATAAATAGGTGCCAATGTGCGAGACAAAGGCTAGGCCTTGCAGCTCGGTATAGAAATTTGCCCTGGTCTTAGCCAGAAGGCCTAGCCCAAGAGGCGATGTGCCAAAAAAAAGCTAGGCGAGTTGTGGTCAACGTGCCATTCACACAGTGGGGTCCCAAACCCAGAATGCTACTCGGGCACCCCCAGAGCATCACTTCAGGAGGACGCTAGACAGCTCCCTGCCTTCCGAGCCCATGACCAGACTAGGTAGACCCATTCAAATCAGAAGGCACTGGGCCCCACCAGTTACCAGGGAAGTACTCCTGACCCCCACTCAGATCACTTGCACTTAACAAGCTGTGCAGGCATCGGGGCCGTAGATAGGGCAAGTCAACTGAGGCACTCGCCTCGAGCACAGGTGGGGGGCGCAGCCAGGGCTCAGCCAGGGCTCAGCCAGGGCTCAGCCAGGGAGAGGTGGGGCGGCACAGCCTGCAGCTTCTCCTCTGGAACCCCGCTGCTCTCCCCCACCTGTATGGGCAGCGGCAGTAAAGTCCTGAGGCCGGCGAGTGGGGTGGAGGAGGGAGTGCTGTCACTTCAGGATGGCCATGCGTTGAGGAGAGAGAGAGCCGCCGGCTGTCAGATCCTGGCCGAGTGGCTCTCTCCTCACCGATCACCTAAAGTGACAGCCCCCTCTGTATAGACCCCTGATATTTCCCCAAACCTGATGGCCGCGGGCTCCCTGCCTTCCCAGCCCATGACCAGACTACTCAGAAGACTATCCATTCAAATCAGAAGGCACTGGCCCCCACCAGATACCAGACACCAGGGAAGTACTCCTGACCCCCACTCTTACATGAGTGGACACGCCATTAGGTTTTCTTCCCATGACCAGAACCCTTTGGGACCCCCATTATCTCAGGCAGGGTACTCTGCAGCCAGCCATACCTACCATAAGGACAAAGCAGCGGCACATTTCCCCTCCTGAACACTGATAAGAACAGATATTTGACCATAGCCAAAAGGCAGAGAAGCGAGAAGTCCAAAAAAAAACGTTTAGCTGATAACTTTCTGTGCCTCAGCTAACCATTATCATTTACATTGTTCCAGCTTCTTTATTCTCTATGTTATGGAGAAATGGAGTGGAGTTTCTGTCCCTGTCCTCAACCATGTTGATGTTATGTTTTTCTTTGCTGTCGCCACTTTCCTGCTGCATTATCCATAGTATAAGATAAAATAAATATCCAGCAAGAAGAGTGGGGACACCTTAGTCCAGAATCAGGTTGATCAAGTAAATCTGGTTTGCAGTATGAATACCTCCCGGGAATGGCGCCCTGGGGGTGATCAAGTAGCACTATGGGTTTGGGACCCCACTGTGTGAAAAGCACCCAGGCCAGAACACCACTTGCTTTTTCTGCACCGTGCCTCTTGGACAGGGGACATTTTTATACCAGGCCACAAGACCTAGCCATTGTCTTGCCCTTTGGCACTTATTTATTTTTCTCACTTTTTCTCACTTTTGTATGTGGTTATGTGTTTTTTTACAATCCACAGGATGGAGGGTGTTGGTCTTCAGGCCTGCCCTGAAGTCTAGGGTGGCCATTAGGTTCCTTGCTCCCCTGAACTGGGGGTATCCGTTTGGGTGAGCCTCCAACCTAGTACTCGGATGTCGTCTTCGGCTGGCGTAGAGGAATGGGTTCGTCTGGCTTTGGCCTTGCCTGGCTTTAGCCTGGTGGACACGAGTGCTCTGCTCCTGTTAGAAGCTTTGCACCCTGAGGGGTCAGGCAAAGGTCTCTATCTCTTTGGGAGATGGACTATTTGATACACCCTAGTGCACTTTTTGTGTGTGTTCAGTGCACTTTTTTGTTCTCTATGGTGTTTAGTTTTTGCTATATAGGCAAAAAAGATCACATTTCCTACATGAGCTTTTATTGGTTTATAGGGCAGAAGTGACTCATCTTGTTGAGTTTCTACACTTGTCACCCCTTTCTTTGACCTAAACGTACATCTACAAAGGTGACCAGGTGGTTCTCACCTTAGGGATGATGAAGCCTCTGAAGGTGACATCCTCGGTGACTTTATGTGGAAGAGCCATTGGGACAAGTTCCATGTATCTCAGTATTTCATGGATGACGGCGTTGGTATACGGCATGTTGGAGCGGTCGGCAATGCTGGGCAGCCTGTCCATGCCGATAACTGAGTCTATCTCCTCCTGTATCCTTTCTATTAAAACAATAAAATATGCCAAAAATAGAACAGTATTTTAACAATAATGCAAAGCTTTAAACATTCTCTCATTTCCTGTGACATTACTATTCAGAAACAGGGATGAAGGAATCAGGTGAATATCTGGTCGGCGGTCTCATGGTTTAGGAATTCTATCGATTGTACATCCTGAATGGTAGGATTATTGTCAATATGGTGTTGACAAACCATACAAATCTGTGTGCAGATATTCAGCAGAAATGAAATGCTCCTTTAAATCAATTAATTTGCTGCTTTCTCTCAAGTACAGGGAAATACACTCACGGTAGATGAAAATAACAGCATTTTGCTGGTGTCTTTTAACTTACAGATGTTAAAATGCGCCCAGTGATTGTTCCTTTGCCGATTGGTGACCACCTTAGCTTGAACCTTCGGGTGTTTTATCATCACCAGCAAACTGTACTGCAGGGTGATGGATGTGGTCTCTGTTCCAGCAAAGAAAAGTTCAAGTACAGAAATGAGCAGATTCTCCATGCAGAATTCGCTGTTCCTCACATCTTTTTCCTGCAATTCAGAAGCAGAATTTGAGTTTCAATCTGTGTGAGGCTTCATTATGGACACTTTTACCATCAGTGGTGTGCAGCATTTCTAAGACTCCCTGCCGGGTATCAGCTGGAGGCAGGAAGCATTAGGCTAAAAGACTGCAAGCAAAAAAAGTTTTCAATAAGTTATTAATGACAGTGATTCTTCTTGACAGTGTCCCACCCATGATATAAGCTGGCCTTACCTTGAAGACTAATACTCCTTTCTTCATGATGCTACAATTACCAGGTTATTTATAGATTTAAAATGATTATCGTCCATTCTGGCCACCATTGGTGAGATTTTATTTGTCTATAGCCTGTCCTTGACCTGTGCAAATGTCCCAAATTAACCAGTCTCGGAGTACTCCTAGGTCAGCCAGAAGAGTTTTTTCATGACCTTCAGTTGAGACTGGCTCCAAAGGTGTTACACAGTACACAAAATCATGCTTAATATTAGGGATGCACTGATACAGTTTTTTCAGTAAAAAAAGTTGTTAGGGGGTGTCCCTTCTTCAGCCAAATAAAGAGTAAACCTCTTTGTTTGACTGAAGAAGGGGCCATGTGGTTCAGAAACGTCGCTATTAAGATGTGACACAACAGAAGTCAATAAATATTGAGTAAAAATCAAGTTGGAGTGCGAGTGACCTTCCTTTACTTTACGTAGTTCCCAGTCCTGACACATGAGGTAGCTGGTAGACATGTGCGATTCGTTTTGTTACGAATCGAAATTCGTACGAATTTTCCTGAAATTCCGAATTTCGGAGCATCCGAAATCCGAATGGCAGTTTCCGAATTATATCCGAAATACGAAATTCGGATACGGAATCCGTTAACGGAATTCGTATTTCGTTTTGGTTGACCAATCAGAGGTTCTCTTCTGCTGCTGAGAGTTGCATTACAAATACAGGCAGGAAATACGAAATTCCGTTGACGTATTTTCGTTCTGTTACGAACATTCGTTATATATTGAAGTTAAAAAGCAAAGTACATTTATATTGGAGGTGATGGAATTTTTTTTTTAAATCCGAAATTCGGATACGGAATCCGTTAACGGAATTCGTATTTCGTTTTGGTTGACCAATCAGAGGTTCTCTTCTGCTGCTGAGAGTTGCATTACAAATACAGGCAGGAAATACGAAATTCCGTTGACGTATTTTCGTTCTGTTACGAACATTCGTTATATATTGAAGTTAAAAAGCAAAGTACATTTATATTGGAGGTGATGGAATTTTTTTTTTAAATCCGAAATTCGGATACGGAATCCGTTAACGGAATTCGTATTTCGTTTTGGTTGACCAATCAGAGGTTCTCTTCTGCTGCTGAGAGTTGCATTACAAATACAGGCAGGAAATACGAAATTCCGTTGACGTATTTTCGTTCTGTTACGAACATTCGTTATATATTGAAGTTAAAAAGCAAAGTACATTTATATTGGAGGTGATGGAATTTTTTTTTTAAATCCGAAATTCGGATACGGAATCCGTTAACGGAATTCGTATTTCGTTTTGGTTGACCAATCAGAGGTTCTCTTCTGCTGCTGAGAGTTGCATTACAAATACAGGCAGGAAATACGAAATTCCGTTGACGTATTTTCGTTCTGTTACGAACATTCGTTATATATTGAAGTTAAAAAGCAAAGTACATTTATATTGGAGGTGATGGAATTTTTTTTTTAAATCCGAAATTCGGATACGGAATCCGTTAACGGAATTCGTATTTCGTTTTGGTTGACCAATCAGAGGTTCTCTTCTGCTGCTGAGAGTTGCATTACAAATACAGGCAGGAAATACGAAATTCCGTTGACGTATTTTCGTTCTGTTACGAACATTCGTTATATATTGAAGTTAAAAAGCAAAGTACATTTATATTGGAGGTGATGGAATTTTTTTTTTAAATCCGAAATTCGGATACGGAATCCGTTAACGGAATTCGTATTTCGTTTTGGTTGACCAATCAGAGGTTCTCTTCTGCTGCTGAGAGTTGCATTACAAATACAGGCAGGAAATACGAAATTCCGTTGACGTATTTTCGTTCTGTTACGAACATTCGTTATATATTGAAGTTAAAAAGCAAAGTACATTTATATTGGAGGTGATGGAATTTTTTTTTTAAATCCGAAATTCGGATACGGAATCCGTTAACGGAATTCGTATTTCGTTTTGGTTGACCAATCAGAGGTTCTCTTCTGCTGCTGAGAGTTGCATTACAAATACAGGCAGGAAATACGAAATTCCGTTGACGTATTTTCGTTCTGTTACGAACATTCGTTATATATTGAAGTTAAAAAGCAAAGTACATTTATATTGGAGGTGATGGAATTTTTTTTTTAAATCCGAAATTCGGATACGGAATCCGTTAACGGAATTCGTATTTCGTTTTGGTTGACCAATCAGAGGTTCTCTTCTGCTGCTGAGAGTTGCATTACAAATACAGGCAGGAAATACGAAATTCCGTTGACGTATTTTCGTTCTGTTACGAACATTCGTTATATATTGAAGTTAAAAAGCAAAGTACATTTATATTGGAGGTGATGGAATTTTTTTTTTAAATCCGAAATTCGGATACGGAATCCGTTAACGGAATTCGTATTTCGTTTTGGTTGACCAATCAGAGGTTCTCTTCTGCTGCTGAGAGTTGCATTACAAATACAGGCAGGAAATACGAAATTCCGTTGACGTATTTTCGTTCTGTTACGAACATTCGTTATATATTGAAGTTAAAAAGCAAAGTACATTTATATTGGAGTTGATGTAGTTTTTTTTTAAATCCGAAATTTGGATAGGGAATCCGTTAACGGAATTTGTATTTCGGATAAAAAAAACAACTACCACTCCAATATTAACAAAGGTATTTTGCTTTTTAGCTTCATCATAACGAATGTTCATAAAGTTACGAAAATATAACCGCCACTAACGAAAATTCGTATTTCGTACGAATCCGAATTGAGTTCAGTTACGAATTACGAAATAACGGATATTCCGAAACGAAACAGAACAATTTTTTTGACGGCGCACAAGTCTAGTAGCTGGCAACTAATTATTTAGGCCTCATGTACAATACGTTGAAAAAAACAAGATTTCAGGTGCGTTTTGGAGCTTATTAATAAACTCACCTGGACACATGTAATGCTTTTCTATGACAGAATGCAGACCTTGACATCCAGCATTGTCTAGGAACATTCAGTCTAAAATCATTTACCAAAACTAGAAATTTCTGTGTCTCGACCAGTTTAGCCCGTTTTTACGCAACTAAACGTGCATAAAGAAATAAGCTCCAAACGCACCTGAACTCATGTTTTTTTCAAACTTAGTATGCATGACGCCTTACCAGATAACTGCTCTTGTGTTTAAACACAGCTGACTACAGTGCATGAGGCTAGGGGCGTATCCACCACAAGGCAAACTAAGTGTTTGCCTTGGCCGGCACTTTTCCAGGGGGCGGCAAATCCGCATGCAGCCCTGGTGAGACCTGAACACAGCCCTTGTGAAACACTGCATGCAGCCCTGGTGAGACCTGAACACAGCCCTTGTGAAACACTGCATGCAGCCCTGGTGAGACCTGAACACAGCCCTTGTGAAACACCGCATGCAGCCCTGGTGAGACCCAAACCAAGCCCTTGTGAGACTTGCAGACACATAAACGCACTTCTAAATGACCGTTGTAGAGCAGGTAAGTAACCTTTATACTGCAGCTGCCTATTGTTCTTCTCTTAGGGGTGTATGTCACAGTGCTAATCAAATGCAAGAGAGAATGTTAACTGGCTATAGAAGACTACAAATATCAGCTATCCATGATCGCTGGTTGCTATTCTCCAATGCTGTAAAATCATAGATTGATGAAATCTGTAGTCCTCTATTGCTGGTTGCCATTCTCTATTGCTGGATAATCGTTGTTTGAGTTACAGTTCTTCACAATGATAAAGAAACTGCCCTAAAATCAGTGATTGGTATCGGTGAGTACCTGAGGGAAAGTACTTGTTCTGTTCTTGGTCTTGAACAAGTGGCATCATCGCATCCCTAAATATGACCCTATGGGAAGTGAAGGCATACAGACCAGAAAGAGATAAAAACCCAGTTTCACTTCTAACCCTTCCTGGCTTTGTCGTGAACTATAAATCTCTGGAGTTTCACTTTAAAGTATTTCCCCTTGGAAAATCAACAGAATGTATCATTTGACCAGGGATGCCCACAGTTTACATATGACTGTCCTGAATATAAAATGAACATCAGTCTCAGAGGCTTCAATGCATCTTTATGCCAGTTGCATCATGAGTGGTGGAACATATGTGTGTAATTGCAATGCATTACTGCAGCCTTTTCGGTATGAAAGGTCATGAAGTACACCTTAATGGGATTGTGTGCTAGGGTACCATTCTTAACCACAGGTGTTGGGTTACCATGCAATGGGGATGTCACAACCATGCCTGGAATTGATCCTGGGACTTTAAATCTCTGAGTCATTGACCTTCCTCTAGAGCCACCGGAGGCTTTGGCTCTAGCTCAGTGTAGGATTTCTTGTTTCCTATCACCTGCACTGGCTGGGTCTCTGGTTTCCCTGCTGTTCAGCTGTGGGCAGTTACCTAATCAACCCTTTATACATAGTTGCTTCCTGGTCCTGTGCATAGGTTTGGCTTTTTGGGCGTGTGTATTTGCTGATTTTTGGATTACTGGTTGCGTAACTTCAGATTGTCCTTCATCTGCTCCTGGACTATCCATTGGTACTGCTGCCTTTTGTTTTCTGGCTGACCCAGCCTGGATTCTAATGTTGATCTGCTTTTCCCCTGGTACTGCGATATTCAGCTTTCTGGTTACAGACCCTGGTTTGTACCTTACTGTGAGTAACTCTTTTGTTTCCTGTATATACTGCCTGTTTTTATTCCTAATGGCCTTTTTGCACCATCTCTTACTGGGTCACTGTGTTTTTTTTTTCCTGGCTGTGAGATTTCCACCTGTCACCTCACCTGATACTGGGATAACAAGACTACTGGTCAGGAAATTGAGGTGATGGTAGAGACATCTTGGCAGGCCTGATGGCGGTTATTTGCACTTTGTGCATGTTACTACAAAGCACAAATCTAAATGGGCCCTGAGCCTTAGAGGAGTTTCTGGTACTTGGTGGTACAGCCTCTTGTATATGTCCTGTTACCTTGTCAGCCTGGATGAGGAAGCAGTCTATGAAGTCTCGGGGGGACTCTGGATCCAGGGATCTCCGGTGTGATTCAATTTCCTCCCTGATGAAAGATTTCACATGCTCGCAATCTGCAAACACCTTCTGATGGGGACCCGGAAGATGCTTCATTAGACTGTCAAAAGCAACATATGCCTGAGTAGGACAAAAAGCAAAGATATATGTAAGTGTACCAGTTTTGTATAGTTACTCTTAAGGTGAACCTCTGCCCAGGCTATAGATGGGCAACGTGTTTGCAGTTTTCTAACAAGCGGTAAAAGACCTTTTAAAGCAAGCCCTTATTCACCTCTGTAGCTATAGGCATTGTGGAAAAATTAATTCTCAGTCAGATAAATCATAGGTCCAAATACAGATGCATTCCAGCCCAACCTTACACTTCTTCCTGGGAACTAGAAGTCCAGAACGGGCAGATGACAATGAGGATAAGGTTCCACTGCTTGGCTCCTCTTAAAGCAACCCTCATCTATGCTAAAGCGTTTGCAAATCAATAACTTTTTTTAAAATTAGAAAAAATATACTTTATTTATAAATAAAAATATATTTAAAAAGCAAATACTTAACCGGGGTACAATCCACCCTGTACTGTGATACAGTTCAATCCTACAAATTACATTCGCTCACAGGGGTCAAATCTACTTGTCCTTCATGACAATCTACTTGTCCCAATACAAAAAAAAAGAAAAGTTTAAAACTAGGGATGCACCAATACCAGTTTTTGGGTATCGAGTATGAGTACCAATATTTTGCTTTCAGTACTCACTGAGTATCGGTGCTTCCGTTTGCATGGAGCAGGCTTCCTGGGCAATCAGGAAGCAAGGCAGCGGGTAATGAGATGCTACCCGGCTTCCTGACTGCCAGGGAAGCCGAATCCATGTTGTTTGGCCGGCTTGATTGTGAATGGCTGGGAAGCCGGTTTCCCGGCCAATCATCATCGAGCCAGCTTGCTGGCCAATCAGGAAACCTGGCGAAGAGTAATGACCTGATTGGCTCGGAAGATGGCTCGATGCTGATTGGCGGCCAATCAGCAAGGAGTTGGCTTCCTGGCCAATCACCTGACCAATGAGTGCAATGAGTGCTTGCAATTTGCGAGCAAAATTCAAAATGCATAGGGCAGGAATGCACTGGACAGTACGGGGTAAGGACGCCTGTACTGGCGAAGGGTAAGGACTGTTTGCAGAAAGTTAAGTATAGCTGGCAGGTGGGGGGGGGTAGAAGAGACTAGGCCAGATTTGATCGGGTAATTCCATTTTCCCGTATTATCTGGGAAAGTGAACTCACCCTTTAATGCACATTGTGTGTGTGAGAGAGTTCTGCTGCCCAGGTACCACAATATGGCACACAGTGAAATGGCAGCAGGACTCAACACACACAATTTCCTATGCGCGTGTTTATTTGTATGCAGATGGCAGGGGCAGTGTAGTTGGTTTTAATTTTTTTTTTTTTTTAACTTTGTCACTTTTTTTAATTTTTATATATTTTATAACTTTAAAAAAATGTTTTTTAATTTTATTCCTATCACATATGGTGTTAAAAACCTCTATGTGATAGTTTGGAGGTGACAGGCTCTCTTTATGGAACCTGCCCTCCAACACAGAACTGATGTTCTGTGTAGTTCCTGACAGCCGAGACAGGTGGCGCTGTGATTACAGCGCCACGGTCTCAGTGATAGCACAGAGCAGACGAAGAAAGGAAGTTCTTCGTCTGCTCTGCGGGCTCTATGGTGAGCTCCCGTGCCGTGGTGACAGGTCCACCAGAGGATCGGGGGACACCCGAAAACCGCGGCGGACAGGATCGCCGATTCTCGCTTCATACAAGTGATCTGATTAGATCACTTGTATGAAAACGAGCGGCGGCTCCACAATATGCATTTAGCTCTGCTTGTCCGGAGCCGGTGATGTATCGAAAGTGCAAACTTATCGAGTTGTGGGACCGCATGACTTCCGGTTTCCTCAGAACTACGATGTTTGCACACAAAACATGTTGTGCACGAGCGCCATCCACGGCATTGCCCCATACACATAGACCACAGCAATAAAGGTAATAAAATGATGTAGGATGACAGTTAGCCAGCACGTTCTTTATCTCAGGTGCCCCACTCAATATGGCCGCCGCTTGAGTGGGGCACCTGAGATAAAGAACGTGCTGGCTAACTGTCATCCTACATCATTTTATTACTTTATTGCTGTGGTCTATGTGTATAGGGCAATGCCGTGGATGGGGCTTGTGCGCAACATGTTTTGTGTGCAAACCTCGTAGTTCTGAGAAAACCGGAAGTCATGCGGTCCCACAACTCGATAAGTTCGTACTTTTGATCGATCACCGGGCTGAATGTATTAAAAAACTACTCGCCCGAAACTGCCTGTCCTGGGCGTCGGGCGATAGGAATTCCACACCCCTGGCTCAGCCGCATGATGCCTAACACAAGACAAAAGTCCTGAGCCTATGTCATTTATGACACTGCTTTACCCTGTACTGAATATGTGGTCCATTAGGTACCCCCAGAAATGCCTGATGGTGCAATGTCAGACGTGCAGCGCCCAAGGAAATCCCAACTCCACGCATCCAACATGGCACCCCAACAAAAACAACTTGTGTGCAGTCAACCCTGAAAAAACAACAGGTGTGCAAGCTGGTAATAGCATGGCAGATCTTATGCCTGTTCTTGCCCACACCTCTTGAAACAAACCCCCCTCATCCTGAAGGGTATACAAGGTTGTACTAGACTCTGGCCTGTCCTCCAACTATGGGGCTACTACATCTGGTATGTTTGGCTGAAGTGTCTTGGGAAGGGGAACCAACTTTATTTCAATTAATTAAAAACTATTTCTAAATACAGAATAAATTAGATTCTCATCACCATCTGCTGGTGTGTTATAACTGGGAACTCAACAGATTTGGCCCGGAGACTCTGGCTAATGGATATGATTACTGGGTGTCTAGGCCTTTGTGAGTTACCTCCAGCTCACCCGCTGGTTGGCTGATGGGAGTAGTGACCACAACATCATTAAGCCTGTCAGCCACTGACCAGAGAAGCCATATAATTCTCGAGAAAAGAGGAGGTAATGTAAACTGCTCTCCTACTCCAGAACCTCCCTCTGACCACTGAGGACATGTGCGGTCAGAGGATGGAGGAAGCTGCAACCTGCTACTCCTACTCCCGAACCTCCCTCTGGCCACTGAGGACATGTGTGGTCAGAGGATAGAGGAAGCTGCAACCTGCTACTGGTTGGTCTGGTACGGGGATCTGGTGTAATGGTAAGGGATCTCTCATCGAGAAAATCCTAGATTATTGGCTGTCATCCTGACCCTCTGGCTTCAATGCACTGCTTTAGAACAAGCATAGAGATAAGGACTTATGAGTTTACCTTGACCTTCCTGATCTGCATACTCTTTCCCAGACAAGGATTTTGAAAATACTAACTCCAGAAGATTAGAATGACAGCCAAACAACTTAGGCTATGTGATGGAATGCATTCACTGTTTGGCTGTTAATATTCCACCCACAGATCAAATTTAAACTGATTGAGCATGAATGAGCCATGTATGGATAGATGGGCGAAAAGCAGTGCCCTAGACAAGGTAGTAGCTCTAAATAAATCTACAATATCGGCAGTTAGTAGAGGTGAGAAACGTTTTCCGCACCCCAATAGACTGGGGTATTCGCCTGGGAGGGGGAATGGCTTTCAAGGAACTTAGTTCTCACTGCAAAAGTGTTAAACTGAAAAACATATGTTTTTATTTTGAAATCGACATAAGCTTAGGGGCTTCCTCAGGAGGACCTCAAACCCAGAAAGCTGCAAATCTATTGATCAATGGCAAGATGAGCCAAGCAAACATCGGAGGCCAAGGGGAAACCCCTGCCAGGGGTGCCGCCCGAAAATAATGGAGGGGTTGTAAAGGGGAGCAGAAAAGGCAAAACCAGACTACCCAACCATTGAGAGGACTGCACTTCATCCAATCTCTGCCTCTGATGAACAATAGTTGCAGCTTTCTGGGTTTGAGGTCCTCCTGAGGAAAACGCTAAGTGGCAAAATGTGTTGAGGCACCTGGAGCAAATACCATCTTCCAACTCTCCTACAAAGAACTAGATCATTGCAACATTACCTGTATTGTATGAAGTATGGACTTTTTATCAATTGTATGTACCAATGCTGTTTGTATTGATGAAAACGAATTTTTTTATGCTGCTTTAAAAATAAAACCTATGTTTAAGAGTTTTAACAATTTTTTGCAGTGAGAACAAAGTTTCTTTAAAGGCCCCCCCCCCTCCCTCCCCCCTAGTCCCAGGTTTTTGCATACCTGGGGGTGGTAAATGATAGTTTCATCTGTGGTGAATACTCAAGGTAGTAGCTTTGATAAGAATTGCAATAGGCACATAGAAGCCAAATGATCTACATTGTCTGTACTGGAAAATCCCACCCTGTCAGACACTGCTTATGAATGCATTCTACCTTGTGTTGGGCAGTTGCACATGCTATTCTAATGGTTTGCTGTATGAGCATGAATTTCGTAGATGAGGTGAGACCCCAGAACATCTACTGCTCCTGACTATGTTGACTTGGATGATCCAGCTCTCGCATTTTCTAGCAACTAACATTTTTTTGACCCATATTTCTCTCATGACAGGTTTACTTCATGTAAATGATATTAAAATTATGTTAAAAGCACTTACCACTCCTAGAGGCCTTCTGAGAAAATTGAACAGATTATTGATGATGGAGATATATTTCATGTCGTCATAGTCCCAACGCCGACCGAACCCCACTAAGTTTACCACATTGTTTACTGCACGTCCAAGAACCGTGTGAGGGTTGTGCACTTTACCTAGGGATGTTAGGACTAAACATTAATACAATATGGGAGCTTACATTCTCTTCCTGACAATCACCTATGACCTGGATATTTTGGCATCAATGCATGTTTACAGTGTGAAAGGGATGCCTACACCATGCTGTCCAATAAAAGGGACACATCCCTTCGTGTTGTGAACTATTATGGTTACCATGTTTCCTTTTGTAACTGCCGTTTTAATAACCTAACTAATCAGAGTGTGGAAAGCAGACTATGGGAATCTCCCAGAACCTATGGTCCAACCTCATGACAGGAGAGGAAGGGTAAGAACCTGTCTTGGTGCCACCAGTCATTGTTTGGCTTAATTCAGAGAGGTATAGAGAGAAAAGCAGATAATGTCTGGATAATTTTAATAGACCAGTACAAGAGGATACATTTCGTCTGATTTAGTATATTTAAAGGCGAACTATGGGGTAAGTGTTTTTCCCCACTGTTCTCCTAAGGGTCACGGGAGGACACAAACTAGCGTCCTCCCATGACCCAAAGCTCCGTATACCGTAAGCTACAGCCCTGCCTATCTAGTTAGTTAAGACATCCCTAGTTTTATTACGTAATCACCTGGAACAAACATGGAGGCCCAGAAGTTAAGGCTTTCCTGGCAGCCTGCAAGTTCCATGCCTGTGAGCCTTGAGGCCAAAGCAGCTATACATGGGAAACCCTCCAGAAAATGAAAGTGCAACTTACACCATTTTGGTTATGAGTAAGAACCTTTCTCAGGTCATGCTCCCTTGGGGTCTTGTCTAAGGCTGGTTTCACACCTTGGCGTATTGAATATGCGCGTCTGTCACCACGATTCGCGGTAATAAAGTCGCGCGACCCCGAAGGATACTTGGGGCTGTATCCCAATGGAAAACGCCCTACAAAACGGCCCAAAGTAGTACCTGGACCTTTTCAGGCGTGGGCCATTTTGTAGGGCGTTAGGGACGGGCGGAAATACGGCAAGGTGGGAACGAGACCATTGACTACAATGCAATGTATATTTTTGACTGTTTTGTAGAGCGTTCGTCGAGCGTAGAACGCGCTACAAAACGGTCAGGTGTGAACGAGGGCTTAGGCCCCATTGAGGCGAGTTGCCCTTTATTTTTCAGTTCTGGTGGCATGGTCACCGACAGGAAGTGTTACACTGTCCATTCTCAGTTGTTTATGTACATGACAGATGGCGAATACTGTCACAGCCACATGTACCATGTTCATTTCTGTGAAAGAGACGTGGACATTCATATGGTGTATCTTATCTGTGGAGCACGTGTTCTTGATCAAGCCATAGCTTTGTTGATGGTTAAAAACCTATGTATTTTGAAGGGTTTTGAGGCAGCTAGATTGTAAAACCCTCCAGACACCTTGGATTTTTTAAAGTTGCTATCAAAAAAGCATAGCTTGATCATTAACAGAAGCTCTTCTGACTATTTCTGGAGCTGCTTGCTTGTAGCTACATAACATACATCTCTGAAAACTCCCAGGTGATCAATTTTTCCACAGGTCAAGTAACCTCAAAGATATCCTATTCGAGCAGATAATCCTGAAAAGATTTCCTTCTTTTATATCCAGTGATACACTTACACCCCTACCAAGATTGACGGGGAGTCTTGTCCTGCCTGTTACATCCTGACATATTTCAATTACTTCCTTCATAGCAGGCACTTACCTCCAATATCCTCTATCGCCTTTATGAGGTGACGGGATTCTTCCTGCACTCGCTCCTCCATCGATCGCTTCCCCATTCCAAAATTCCTCAGCGTGCTCACTGCAAATCGTCTAACCTGTTGCCAGCGTTCGCCATTGGTGGTGATTATACCTAAAATATGGAACAAGATGTTAATCTATTTGGTATTGCTCCTTCTACAACACTGAAGTCACCTCTGCAGATCCCCCCCCCCTTGTTCATAGGATGGAGAAGGTAGATGGTGAAACCTAGAATTTTCAAGTTAAATTTTTAGTAATTTTTTATGGTGAGAAAAAGTGGTCCTGCAGTACTGCTATACCATGCAATACTATTCCTTCACTTTAAGCAGGTAAACCATTCAAGGGTCAGTGCACCTAAAAGTGATATTTTAGTTATTGCTTTAACCTTGTTGGCTGAGTGAAGCTCTCAGGTGGCGAATATGCTAGGGTGGCATTCACATGGCACTAGCACTCTTAGATGGTGCTGATAGGTCTTGGATTCTCCTACAATAAGATCTATCTGCTGTAAATAACAGAGTTTTGGGTGTTCCAGCTCACGTTTGAGGTAGTCTCATCCTAGTTCCTGGGTGAACTGGCTTCAGCAGGTTCCCTAAAAAATGGTCAGTCTGGATTTGACCATGTAGACCAAGTGTGCTTTGCCCCTGTCTGGACCCTTAAAAACAGACGTCTTACCATAACCGCCTGCCAATCTTTCTGATATTGGTAGGAAACCACGAGCGCTGAATTGATGAGCATAATTGATCAGGGCCTCTTTAATAACTGTATATCCACAAAGCGCTACCACTGGTTTGGAACCCAACCACACAGTGAAGACGGGTCCATACTGCTTGGACAGCTGTAAGAAAACACACATACAGAACAGTACATGACTAAATGTCTAATTTCCATTAACTTCTTTCATTGCCAAATTTGCAAAACTAGTCTGTATCTAGACTATCTCCTTCAAATTCTGTAACGTCACAAAAACTTTTTTTTTAGTCTTTAAAAAAAGGTCCATTTGAGTCCTCCCGGATAGTTGTGCACTGATTGCACTGTAGAAAGAAGAAGAAGAAGCTTCGAACAGTGATCCTCAACATTAGAGTAAAGGTTTAGGCAAATGGGTAAATGCACTGATGAAACTGGTATCTGTAAATTGCCTTAGCTGCTCAAAAAATGTAATTCTATTCAGCCAGTTTTCTAATCCACTCACCCCTGCCAGGCCCCATATCCAGATACTGGCCAATTTTCTTTTTGAAAGCAATATGGCTTAGTCTAGAGTGACTGTGACTGACTAAATATTGAATGACCTTTCTAAGGTCATCTCTGTGCTCTCTCCTCTAATTGGCAATCTGTTGATCACAGTACTGTGCAATGCAGTAAAGACTAACTAGCTATCAAAATGTTCCTGTACAAAACAAATTGTTGTGAACAGATCCTGAGTGAGTGGTGCCACACCCCTATTTGAATCAAGAAAAACTAGATAGAGCGAGTGGGGCTTTTTTTGTGTGCGGCTGGTGACGGCCCTGCGTGTAGCGCCGGCGGCTCTTGTGAGGGAGGTGATTGGGGCGGCGTGGCAGACCCTTATTTGAGCTCTCCCCTTCATGGTTCCTTGGTCCATGATAGAGGCTGGCCACGGTTGATGGGTTCCGACTTGGGGCCCTGATTTCCATCCCTCACTTGACCATGTGTGGCCTTGGCCTCTGTTTTTTCCTCCTCCTGGGCTTGACTGTCCCATTGTGGCCGTTGCGCTGGGGATGCACTTTTCTGGCTCCGTTTTGGGGAGATTTCCTCCACTTCCTGATGAAGCGCATGATGCGCAAAACGTGTTGACTACCCATCCACTCCTTTGCTTCCAGATAAGGCTCATCACCTTTGATGACATTTTGGACTGTTTATTTAATTATTTCGCTATCTATTACATCCTATACCAATCATTTATGCAATCAATGAATTTGTCATATTCTGGATCTAGTCCATATGCTGTTATATTTATCAATTGTTGGTTACATCACTTGCCTTAATCATGGAAGGGAGTGGCTGTGGAGGCATCTCTCACTTATACTGTATTTTGAAACAACTTTTTAATTTATGTTTTGTATTGAATAAATTAATATATTTTTAATTCATCACTGTTGTTTTGGGACATTTTGGTGCCAATAAAGCCCCACTCGCTCTATCAAAATGCTCCTGCCTTATCAAAGTATGAATAACCTTACTTTATTACTTTTTAGGGGGTTTATTGCCTTTTTTATAATGGATTTTGCTGAGGAATAATGCCTGTAATGCCCCTAGTATTAAAATTTGGCTATAGAGCAAAGAATAAAAGTGGAGGCTCTGATTTTAAAGATATTTCTATGAATTTTATCAACGCCCGTGGATGTGCATTCTATGAATGCCTTCTCTGACCATCTCCTGTAGAATGTCCAAGGGTTTCCAATACAGATGCACCAATACTAGTATAGGTATCGGTGCCGATATTGTATTGAGTATTTGGGAGAGTACTCATACTAATGTAAGGGGACACTGCGGACCCTGCTGAAAGGGGGCACTTGGTATCCAGGGTTCCCCCTTTAGAGTACTCCAGAGACACACTTTATATCCAGGTCCTGGGGATTCTGGTGTATTGGGGGGACTATGATGTAAGGGGGGGACTGTGTTCCCCCTTATGTGTCCCTTGCAGTAGCGTACTTGGTGGGTATGGGTGGCTAGTTGAGGGGGGGGCAGGCAGCAGGCACATATGCAGAGTTGAGTGCTGGGTAGGACAGGGACTGTCACTCGTTTTTTTTTCTAGGGTGGTCCCAGCAACCAACTACCAGCTAGCTGGGTAATCCAACCCAATGTAATCATTCAACTCCCTGGTGGCTGACGGTTGGTTGCTAGGTTGTCAGGCAGTCTAGCAACTAGCTGGCAGCAGCTAGAGTTGAATGGCAGTGACTGCCACTGTCTTTATTCAACCCCTGCTGCAGCCAGTTAAATTGCCTGACAGTCTGCTGTCTCCGAGGGTCGGCAAACTTTTGCTGACCCTCAGAGCGGTGCCCCCCTTCAAGTGGCACCCAGGAGATGTGCCATGCCATGGATATGTGACTAATTATTGGTGATTGGGCCAGCACTGCCATGTGACTCACCCCACATGCTCCTCCATACTCAAAAGTACAGGATACTCTTCAGCTGAATGGAACGGTGGCATTGTGAAGGACAAGGTTATGTGCTGCAGTTCATATAATTGATGGCAACGGTACACCAAAAACTGTAAGATGGAGTAAGTAACTATGGCTGGCAGACCTTGCAAATCAAGATAAGTTAAGACAAGTTAAGATATATATACTATGTAAACAAATGTCTGAAGCTTCTCATTCATCCAAGTCATGGTAATATCTGTAAAAAATAAGTCAAGGCAACTGGACGTTTCTTAAGGACGTTTCAGTGGTCATCCAACCAGCTTTCTCAATTCAGAATGACTTGTACAAAAATTATCTGGGAATAAATATGGTGAATGCCTATAAATGTGGGACAAGCACTGGGCATCTAATGTATTCCCTGAAATCAGCAAAGGCCCACACACAACATGAAGCACAACAACATTAATGCTGCAGAAAATTGTCTCAGACTGCAGTCATTCTACAGTAGATGTCAGAGACTGCATACATGCAGCAGGAAACAATCAAACTCCAGACCTTATGATGTATGCATCATTATTAACACCACCTAGCTCCAATTATGTAAATGCAACCAACACCTGGTTGCAACTAACAGATTATGTGGATTGGAGCGACATTCACCATATTTATTCCCAGAGAACTTTTGTACAAGTCATTCTGAATTGAGAAAGCTGGTTGGATGACCAGTAAAACGTCTTCGAGAAAAATACAGCAAGTCCAATTGCCTTGACTTATATTTTACAGATATGTAAACAAATGTCTGTAGACAGCTGACCATCCCACCTACATAAGCTTGTTGGACATCCCATTCCAAAACCATGGCCATTAATATAGCCACAAAGGATGGAAACTCCATAACAGTTTCCACTCTTCTGGCAAGTTTTTCTACAAGATTTTGGAGTGTATCTGGGGGAACTTGCACCCATTCAGCTAAAGGAAGATTTGTGAGGTTAGATACTGATACTGGATGAGAAGACCTGGCATGCAAATCATTGATCCAATCCATGTCTAATAAGGTTGAGCTCAAAGTTCTGTGCAGTAGACATGTGCGATTTGTTTCGTTCCGAAACAAAATTCCGCAGGAATTTTTCGGACATTTGGAGATTTGTATGTATCCGAATTACAGCTAAAACGAATCGGAATTCCTGATTTCCGAAATTTAGTTAGCGGTAGTCTGGTCGCAATTTAGTTTTTGGACGAATTTTAGTTTGTTTTTTTTTGCGGTGGTCCATGTGAAATTTAATTTTTGGACAAAATTTTGTTGCAGCAAAATTTTTTTTTTTTAGTTTGCAGAAGATGAAAAAAAAAGCTTGAGGTTCCCCCCTAATTCATTCCAGACACTATGTCTGGTAGGAATATTAGGAGGGACCCCCTCAAGTTACAACCCAAAAGTGCGTGGAGTTCCCCCCAAAATCCATACCAGACCCTTTAGGTCTGGTAAGAATTTTAAGGGGGAACCCCAGCCCCAAAAAATGGGGAAAAAACATGTCCGACCAGACCCTTGATCCGAGCACTGGCCCGGCAGGGCAGGAAAGGGGGGGGACAATCGAGCGCCCCCCTCCCTGCGCCTTACCAGGCCACGGGGGGGGGGGGGGG